GTATGCACTTCAAATATTTAATTATGAATTTAACAAATTCCAAAATGTTGTTGATATCAACTAAGTATATGTATAAAATAAACGAGCACTTATGAAACTAACAGTATTGTCGGTCACCGTAGTTAGCCGTCGCTCAACATTGTCGGTTGTCGACCGTTGCCGCCAAAGTATCTTGTGTCTTTTCCTAAAACAAAATGAAAGCAATGTCTCTAATTATCGATCCTTCAGTGGCGGCGATATCGGTACCACTATCAGTTTCAGAAATGCATATTTAGTTTACACATTGTTGACAAGCAATCGCCAACAACACTTAATATGGAATTAAGAGTGTTTTGGATTTATTTTATGTAAGGGTCTAATAGAAATTGTTCTACCTTATGATAACAGAAGAGAAAAATAGAGAGCACACATGATTTTACCGACCGATTGAGAGATCGATCGGCAAGGACAGTAAATTCTCGAAAAATATGACTAGTAGAGAGTTTTTTTTTGTTACAATTATAGCTCTAGCTTCAAGCTATTTTGAAGTACTCTTGTTTTTACTATCTCATTCTCTCCTCTTTCTTTTTTTGTGAGGTGCTGGATGCTTCATTTATACACAAAAAATGTAAATTACAATTACAGTCAAATTCCACCTTGATGGCTAGGTGATTGACGTGTGGTTCCATGCAAAAATCCATCTTTTGAGGATGAGATTTATATTCTTCAGCTTTGTGGGTCAAGACCGATTGGACGGTGGTTTCACCGGCTTCAGTGGCTTCAACAGTTTTATTTGTCGGAGGGCATTCACATTCTACAGAGAGACCGGCAGTGAGAGATCTCTGCAAATTGACTGTGCCGATTCAAGGATCGACAGACCTAATCCTCCCTTCTTGGGCCATTTGCGATGTGGTATGTGCGTTTCATGGGTCCAACTTGGGCATCTGACATGGAATTTTTAGTGGGCCATGATTTCCTCTATTTATATGGGTTTTTCCAAGGTGCACATACAACAAGATTAGAACTTTAGTTTATTCGAACTCATCATTTACTATTTTTGCATTTTTCTGTGACTTTGGAGTTTGGGTTTGATTTAGAACTCCTCTTTGCTATTTATCGTACTTGTGACTTTGAAACTTGAGTTTGAACGCATTAGGATTCCTTTCTGATTTTAGTTAAGATATGAAGTTTATAAGTACGATTTGAGTTTGAGAAAAATAAATTTGCCGATTGAATTCTCAAAGTTTGATTATGCTAAGTGGTTTTTGAGTTATATTATCAGAGTGCGCAAGCAGTGTTGAAATACCTTTGTGCTTTAAAATTAAAATGTTGAGTTTGACTCGTGTATTGTTTTCAAACTTCGTGAACGCCCTTTAAAAATGTTAAGGTCGCCAATAGAAAATCGGGGGTTACAGTGTGTGTGTGGGGCAATGTGAATCCCAAACACTTTAGAGAAACCATTCCCCATCAAGTTGCAAGATCCAAATAGATATTAACAAGGAACTCACAGTAGGTTTAGATAATCACATCCAGGGCACTCTTACTATTCAGTAACCTGCAGACTATATAGCATATGCACAAGACCCAAAAACACTAATAAAATAAGAAAAATACTCGATCTCTCAAATCCAAGATATGAAAGAATGCAATTATAAACTAACAACTAAAAAAAAAATAACTTAAAAAGGCCAAGATCAACATTTCATTGCTGAACTCATCGACCTAGGCAGCACGAACCCAGCCCTCTTTTCCTCAAATGAGTACTCAAACTCGTCCTCAACTGTATTTGTTGTAGTAAAAGAAGGCTTTACGGCTGCCAAAACTGGAGTCGGGGTTATTGTGGTCTGCATGGGAATAGATGCCGTTGAAGGTGTTGGGTATAAAGCGACTCCCGTTGTTTTGGGAGTTCTGTTTTCCTGTCCTTTATTATGAGTAATCTGTCGAGGAGGAGTGTAAGCAAGTGGCTTCTGCAATTTCTCTTTGTTTTTCATGTGCAGATTTTTGGGAATAGTCTTTGTGTTGGACTTTGAAGATGAGCTAGTGGCAGATATAGGATTGAACGGCTTTCGAAAATTTGGTTCACGGGCATATACTGTATTTGGTGAATGCTTAAAAGGAAGACTGGTCATGTTAGAAACTCTCCTACCTGCACAAATCAAGAAATTGAAAACATCACTTTTTTTATCAGAAAAGTTTGTGCTTTACTTTTTCCATCTGAGTTAACATCTCATGGTTTAGCCTAAATTAAAAGGGGAAAGAATAAGAAAACTGAGAAAACTGTCACCTTTCAAAATCTCATACACCTCTTTAATGCATGTTTCAGTTTGTAATACAATAACCCACATCATCACAGGGATACTAGTAATAAACTGACGCGTAATTTGTTGAAATAGATAAAAACTTGTGCAGAAGTGCTTGAACACACAAATTACTGGAGAATCTTCATTCTTCATTTTCTTTTCGTTATTCAGTTCTTTTCTGTCGAAAAAAATTCCTGCCAGAACTATGTTATCATTGCTACTTGCATCACTTTTCCATAGGTTCATCCCAAAGAATTGGCAGTGTGACATTTGTCGCTAACAAATCACATTGAGTTTATTTGAAGGAGATTGCATAGAGGAAAAAGAAGGAAAAGAATACCGGAAGATGAAGTGGCCAATCCATCATCCTTGAGATGACCCATATTCACGTGCATGTTTGTTTTTGCCTTCAGTGTATTTGGAGTAGCTTTTGCAGAAGTATATGATGTATCACGCTTAGGAGTCTGTAGCATAGGTGCACCGGTTGAGAGTTTTCGTTTGGTTGAACCACCACAAGATGAAAATCGAGCTTCTTTTTTCACACTTCGAATCTTCTTGGGACTTGGCTTGGCACCATAAAGAGCTTCTTGCTCTGCTAGTAACTGTCCCTGAATCTTCTTTTGGTCCTGCATCATCATAACACACAGAAAAAAAGATTTCAGAAAAAAAATATTTCAGGTTAACTCCCAAAATACCCTTGAGGCGCACGTGCACAAACACACTACTAAAAAAAAATAGGAAGCAAATATCTTTCAAATTTACCAATACCCTTCAGTGTTACGTTTGAAAGAACTAAATGTGGGAGCAATGGTGTAATACCTTGGGGGAGTTGTTCGAAACTTCGAAAGATAAGGGCAACTTACGCAATTTATGAGTTTTGTAATGTAAACATGTAAGGCCATCTCCAGCCCTTATCTCTACTCTAGCGCGGACTTTACTCTACTCTAGAGTAGAGTTGAACATTCATCTCCAGCCCTTATCTCTACATTTTACTCTACATTAAATATATTATTTTTTTTATTCATTTTTTATTTCAAATAAATTGGTATATATGTATATTTAGTCTTATATAAAATGTTAATTACTCATATTTTCAAAATATATTTTATTTATTTTTATTTCGAATAATTTGCTATATATATGAATATGTAATATTATATAAATGTTTATTACCCAAATAGTAATAAAAATTAGTGGAAATTTACACACTAGACCATATATGGTTTAGAGCATATATTCATATTTTAAAAATGATTGTAATAAATTGAATTTCTTAAAGAAGATACATATACATCTATGTACCGATTGAATCAAAACTGTTACTTTTGAAAATATATGAATTAGTGCAAATTTACACACTAGACCATATATGGTTAGACCATATATGTGGATAAGGAAATCCACAACTTAATTTTAATGAAATAAACTTGTTTGAATGTGTTAAATTTTTATTCATATGGTATCATTTTAATATTAAAAAATTGCCCTATAAAATTATAATACATCAATAAATAAAAAACACAAAATTATTTAGCATAGAAAATACGTTGCACAAATTATTTAAAAATACATTTACTAATACACATTATACAAAAATTTACCAATAATAATACACAAAAAAAAAAAAAAAATTGTAGAGTTGAGCTACAGTGTTGCGCCAAATGTGGCGCAACTGTTCCCAACTCCTTTCTGGCGCAGAAGTCTAGCGCAACAGTGGAGGAGATTTTCACACAACTCCAGCGCAAGAAGCCAAATCTGGCGTTGCGCTGGAGACGCTCTAAATACAAATGGGATAAGTGCACGTACCCTCTGCCTTTTCCGCGCTATTTCCTTTTCTTCCCGCATAAGCATATAAGCTTCAAGCATAGAAAGAAGACGTACCTAGACAAAGCCAAGAAATTGGGTTCATTTATTTGAGACAAATAGGACGTTGTTAATAACGTGTCAAAGTTATTTGGGTTTGACTTACGCCATTGTAGTTAAACTCTCGCCCTTCCTCGTTTTCCCAAGATATGACTTTTATTGTCAATGCATCCACCATTGCTGTTCATAGAATAGTAAAATATATAAATAAAGAAATAAATAAGAAGAGCATTGTCGGTATGGATTTGATAAAAAAAAAGTCATTTTTAACTCAATCATTTTTTTCAACTCAACTTTAACACAATTTCATTATCCTCAATATTATACATATAACTAAACAATACTAATCAATCATTATTATACATCACATCAATTCGCTATTCATTCACTCACATAGTTTTAACTAACCATCACTTCCAGTATCTCTCACCTACTTTTACATCAAATCAACATTAGTTATTTTATTTTAAATGTTATTTTAATATAAACTCAAAATCTCACTAACAACTAATCATAACACTTTTTTCACAACTACTTATGGCTAACAAAAAAATTCAGATCAAATCCATATCCAATCACACCCTTAATTTTTAACCTTTTAACTGTTGTAATAACAAGACCAACCACAAATCAATTATACCTGGAAGTTTACTGACCAATGCACGAGCTTTTTCAGCCCGTTTTAGAGCAACATGAGCCCCTCTTCCAGCATTATAACGATTATCATCCTACAGGCAGAGAAAATTTTCCTTGAGCGAGATCAGAAATTGACTAAGAAACAAGTATTTAACATGTTTTGCTAAGGTGATGTTTAGGCAGTGACCTTGTTATACTCGTCAAGCCAGCTCTCCTCATCACATGCTGCCACCCACTTCTCGACTTTTTCAAGGATTTCTTTCCTGCTTATAACATCCTCTTTAACTCTTGCTATTTGAAGCTCAATTTGCTCGAGTAAACACACAGCATCAACATCACCTATAGAATCAGTTAAAAAGTATGGAATATGAGATCATAGAGGCCAATGTTAATGTAAACATGCCGCTAAGAAAACCCATCACTGAAGGTCAGCCTTATTACAAAAAAGAGCATAGAGCTTTAATAACCAAAATAGATAAAACTAAAGAAGTCCTATAAAGTGTTACAAAATCCCGATGAGATTTGTGTGTACATAAACAAATACTCCTCTTGAGGGTTGAATTGTAAAAGAGAAACCAGGGTCAGAGGGCAGTTGAGTCTTCTTTTTCACTATTATGAAATTTAGACAACCACATAATGTAGATTTGGTGAGGTAGTTATATCTTGTACACTAGTAAATAATAATTACCATATTCAAGAGCATCAATTGCTGCTTCCATGTTACTATCTTTTTCCGGAATAAGACGTGTCATCCTACAAATAGCTTCTAGCTCTGCCTTCTTTTTCAAAACAAATTCTTTCATTTTGCTTGCTTTCAGTTCTTCCAGGCGAGAAACTTCTTTCTTGACCTGGAAAATTAAAAAAACAATGACCCACCACGAATAATGTAACTTGAAATTTAACACACAAAATCGAACAGGGAGTAACAAATGAAATCAGTTGACTCACATGATTAATAACGTCGACAGAAAGCATGTCGGGCTCAGTTATCTCATCCTCTGTAGCAACTAACTTACAAGTAACTTTCTGAAATGTCTGTTGCTCTTCAGCTGGCGTGTCCATCAGGTTCCAAAGCTCCAACAATGAAGCCGCAAGATCTTGTAACTATAAAGCAATTCTTTTGTTTTTTCAGCCACAAGCCAACAAACACGACTTTCAATAATGGAAAACAACAAAACCATAATCTAGAAAAAAACATACCTCCTTCATTCGCTGTATTTTAAGCAGTCTTAGTTGTTGTACGACTGTCCCCAGTCTATCTACAGTACCATTACTGATACTTTTCGAGCCTTCGGCTTCTGCTAAACTCGGGTGAATCTCAACGACAATTTTCGTGAAGTCCAAACCGAGAACTATACACAGTGAACATAAACAGCTCAAACCATCCAACACCAGCTTCAGGCGTTCGCTCTACACGCAAAAGGAATTCAGGGACATATATCAAAGAGTATAAGAAGAATCATTAATAAGTAAAATCGAAATCCCAAGACTGCAAAAATGGAGAGAAGAAAAGACCTTCTCTTTCCGAAGCTCCTGCAGTTCTTTGCGCAATTCTTCAAGCTTCTTTATTGAAAGATCAGATTCATCAATTGCTGTGTCATTTGAAGCTAAACTATCAGACCTATAGATTTCTTTTTCAATACACTGTATCTCATTTAAGACCTCTATAAATTGATTTTTCCGATCAGTCCTTCTCTTTCTCATCTCCTCTATCTGCGGAAGGATGGCCTTTAATTCATCCTTCAAATTTCCACGGTGTGGATTAGTCTGCCAAAGGAAATACATTGCCATTAGTAATTGAATGAGTATCCTAAAATGGAAGTCCTTACCCTCGGTTTTTCCTTTTGGCGAATTTTCCTTCTGTAGCAAATATGTATCAAAAGCTTATGGACATATCTAGATATTCGCATTTCTACCTTAGAGAATGACATTTAAAAAAATTGTTTACAGGGAAAATTACAAAGGCTGCCATAAGGTTTACCTCAATTACCAAGAAAAGAATCAGTTATCTATATCAATTACGAACACCCCCTTAAGGTACTAAAAAACTTTCCTCAAGTTCTATATTTTATTAACAAGTAATCACCTGTGCAATTTTTTAAATGTAAAAACATACATCAAGTGAGTATTTGAAACAATGAACTGTAGCTATGTTTTAAATTTTTGTAATTCATGATCAGAATGAGCCACAAGGAAATACTTCATAGTCATACTGATGCTTTTCATGTTAATGCAAAATGTTCGAAATCCATAGAAGCTTTAGATAGCTCTGACATTAACAATCAGTTGAGGGTATTAATCTAAGCATAATAAGTCCAAGTTAACACACTCAATGGTAGGAATTGTAATTAGACACTATACCATGAGGAAATTGATTAACCAATAAGATTAGCAATAAGATCAAGTCTAACCAACCTGTCTAATGTGCACAGGCGTCTCTCCCATTGTAGAACAAATGGCAGCAAGCTCGACTTCAGCATCAGCAATTGCTTGCCTCATTTTTCCTCTATACATGTTCGCTTGGTCCACTTTTCTTTTGTATACTTCTAAACATTCTTGTTCGAGCTCGACCAACACCCTCTCTCTATCAGCATCAGATTCCCCAATCTCGTTCCATATTATCTGAGAAGGTTAATAATATAACGTAAATGAAGACAAATTACAAGTTTGTGAGGATGATACAACCGTAAAGTAACATTATCCACCTAAGCAAGGGAAAGACGTAGAGAATTTAATAAAAACATAATTGAAATGGATAATAGAAAAAAATGGGTTCTGTATGATATAAACAACAAACTTGGTTGATAGTTGAAGGCTTTGTATAATACCTGCAATTCATGTAAAAGAGACCCGCATAATGCTTCCATTTGACAAAGCCAATTTCTTTGTCCTGTAAACATTTTTACCTGCCTAGAATCTACTCTGATGAGGACTGGAACACTTATCTGCTGGAAGTGCTTGAACACATGTGCACAGCTGTAAAGAGAAGTAAATAACTATAATTACAAATGCTTATCACTGTGACACTGTTACAAGAATCTAAAAAATATGTAAATCTTCCGGATTAGTAAGCTATTATGAAATCAAGATTTTATCTTCAAAATTCTCGGCCATGATCAAACTTTTAAGGCAAATTCTGATCAGTAGGCTGCTGAAAAGTTATTTATTCATAAATCAACAACTAATTCAATGCCCTTGAACTATCTTCNTGAATAAAAATGAACCCAAGAAAGATCTTAAAAAATCTGTGAATGACTAAATCAAGTAATAAAACAATTTTCCAAGACTGACCTAGCTCAGTTCACCATCACCCTTCACAACAAAAGCCTTCTTTTCAAAAAGAAATCAATTAAGCCATGGCAAACTCAAAGAAGATCCAAAGAACACAATCATAACGCCTCTACCTTCAAAATTGACAACATAATGAATCAAATTTTATTGTTTTTTTTTTCCAATCATCTTCATCCTAAACTATATCATTTTTCCAAAAAGTGCACAAATTTCATGCGTACAAATTCAAGATCCTCCGAACTCTCTTCAAACCAATAAGTACCATAAGAATGAGAGGACGGAGATGAAGAGAAAATGAGAAAGCCAACATCGATTAAACGCCGGTAAATGCGTACCTGAATTATTATAATTTTAAGGGAATAATTATAAAGACTGTCTCGAGCACCATACTGAAACAAGGGTGATTCAATTTCCGTGATTGAATTCCAATACAGAATTGGAATTAACAAACTGTGGGTTTTGCTGGGGGAAAGGTACAGAGAGAAGAAAATAGTTTTTCTTTCTTTTCTTTTTTTGTTGTTGTTGTTGTTGTTTTTGAAATGTCGACCGTTAGAGAGAGAGAGGAATGACGAGTTTACTTTTAGTCACGGTTAATGGGCGTACAAACTACAAACCACCGAAACGAATCAAGTTCAAAATTTGAAGAGAGCCAGAAAAAGAAATTACAAAACTCAAATGATGTTAGTTCGACAATTTCTTTGTGGACATACAAAATTTGCAAAAAATGTATTTCTTCGTAGTGATACACAGAGTAATATAAATAAGTAAATTTGTTTTATTTAAAATTAGTCACTAGTTATTGTACTGCAGTGTGATTGNTTTTTAATAAAATTTTATTAGAAAAACGTATTTCCATAATAAGTTTTAAAAAATATATTTGTCAAATTTAGAAAAAAAAATTATTTCCGTTTAAAAAATTGGAATTGAACAAAAAATGATAATTGTAAACCGTATTTCACAAATACGTTTTTCGAAACCCTAAATTGATTTTTAGGGTTTTAAAAAACGTATTTTCAAAATTTGTTTTTTATTTATATAATTTAATTAAAAAAAATCTTTTAAAACGTATAATAGAAATACATTTTTTATTGACTAAAAACGTTCATTAAGGAATGTGTTTTAATAAAACGCATAATTCGTTTTAATAAAAAAAAATAAGAAAACGTATAACAAAAATACGTTTTAAAAATAAATAGAAGAAACGTATTGAAAAAAAAACGAGAGAGCAGAGAGCAATTTCAAACCTTCGGAAAAAAAAAAAACGCAATCCCATTCCCACCCCAGCGGGAACCGACAACATCGACACGAGCCTCATTTTCAGTTAATTCATTCGCACGAGGTATTTTGGCTTATCTCAACTTTTAACATCCTTTGTAGTTGTTTGGAGATTGAGAATTGTTATAGTATGTTTGAATGTGGTGGTGTTTAAAGATTGGAAATTGTTAATTGTTTATCGATTATGTGTGTATGTTGAATTGGAGATTGGAATTTTGTTGTAAATTGTCAATTGTGTATTGGTTGGTTGTTTGTTGTGCTTAGGGTTTTTCGAAATTAGGGTTAGAATTAGGGCTTTCAATTTATTCGAAATATAGATGAATTGTATGTTATTGTTGGATTATGGGTATTAGGGTTTTGGAGGATTATTTGATAGGGACTATTTATTTTGATTTTTTCGTTGGAGTAAAAAAATGGGTTTTAAATTTAGAATGGTAAAAGAATAATTGAATTTTTTGGGTGTTGGATTAGACATTATGTGTTGTTGTAATTGGGAAGAATTGAAAGTTTTTTCTGCAACAGGTATAAATGGCGTATTGTGGTCCGTATTTTATGTTAATTTGTATTGGCGATGTGCGAAGGAACAGTTAAGAGATTTTGTTTCATTTATGAATTGTCCAGATGGTTCATTTGTTATTACGAGGAGGATATCATATGAACAATTGGTATAGATGATTAATGAAAATTGTCGGTTTGGAGAAGGTTGGACAATTCAAGAGATTACTTTAATGTTTCGTCAACCCGATGGTTCGTGGAATGCCGGAAGACTCGATAACAATAGTGCTTTTCAGTGGATTTATTTCTTTCCTTCTATGTTTATTGTGTATTTGCATTTATCGTTCGAGGCAATTACACCGGTTACACAGTTTGAGGATTTTACTCCTTATTACGGGGGAGTGGATGATGTTGAGGACAAGTGGACTTCTCATCTACGTAATTTTGGAGAAGGGACAAGCTCACCAATGAGAGAATGAGCAAATGAGGACGGGGAAGAAAGTGACGAAGATTTCATTCTCGGTGAAGATGATTTCACAGACGAGACCTCAGAAACCGAATCAGATAGATCGGTAAATGAGGAGAGTGAAGCCGAGTTCATTGAAGAAGAACACTCCTTTCCTAGTGGTGGTCGGCACGTATATCGCGAGATGGGTGAATGAGAGCCGTCCAGGATAGATGAGGATGAGTATGCTATTCCACGCTGGAATGGCGACATTGAGACCATAGGTTTGGGTATAGTTTTTAGGAGTAAGCAAGAAGCCCAAATGGCTCTAATGGCTTGGAACGTCGATAGGTTGCGGGAGATTCAGACAAATGATTCAAATCAAAAGTCATACAAAGTGGTCTGCAGATCTAGTGAAGATCCGCCTTGTGTGTGAAAGGCTCGGGTGACTAAGTCCAGACGGGTTCATGAATTGTGGGAACTAACTGAATGGACTGATAGACACACTTGTATGCAACGAGTCGAGAGAAATGACCACAGAAATGTAACCGCCCAAATGATTTCAAATCTCATTCGTAATAAGATTTGAAAGAAAGTGGAGTACGGTGTCGGCATGATCTAGGCTGATGCGAAACAGTACTGGAAAGTGGATGTCAGCTACAAGAAGGCATGGCACGTGTTGATAAACGGATTAATCAACATAATTAAGATTTAAAACACAACGAGAATTGCAGAGAATATGATTTTTATTGAATTTTATGATGTCGGTTACAGTTTCAAACAAGTCAGTATTTTAGTACAGGAGGTCGGAAACAGAGGAAGCCGAGGTAATAAATGCGTGAATTTATTGTGTTGGTTGTGGTCCCCGTATCGATTTTAATGCTGCTATTTATAGTTACGTCTGGCACACCTTCCAAGAGAAGTCGGTTGTATTTAATGCGGATTTGATGTTTTAGGGGCGGCAATGACGTTAGCATACTTTTTAGGTAATAATGAAAGCATGGGTGCCCCTCTTACTGGGTGACAGGCGTCACTTTTGTCGGGTCGAGGTCGGAATTTTCTGGACGTCAGTTGTCCCACAGGTCTGTTAACCTGCGACATCCTTCCCTAAAGAACCCTTTTAGATCCGAGATGGCAATCATGAGGTCGCTTGTTTAATGCTGGGGCGATCTTGGGAGCTTGCTTCGTTTGTCTTGGAAACGAGGTGGTAGTACCGAGATGCCGATTAGTTATCGAGACGATATCGAGGATCTCCATCGCACCTCGGCCTTCTAGTAATTAACTCTGAATTCTTCTTAAATCTATTTGAAAACGCCCTTAATCTGCGGAATCCGGTTTTGGTATTAACATAGAGGCCTCTGTCATTAAGGAGTATGCAGACAAGCGTGCTTCTTAATGACACTTTCACCTCGACCAGATTTAGCTCTGAAGTCATTCACAGAACTTCTAAGAGTATACCGAGGTGATTTCCTTATATGAGAATTTCACATTTTCGCGACCACTTGACGAGTATGAAATTAAGAAGCGGTTACTAGGCAGTTTCCAGATGCTATGAACGTGTCTTCCCCACTATTCCTCTCAAGGAACACGTACCATAAATGATGGCCGGGGATCATGGTAGTTTTCGGGACACATGTACGCTTACGATTAAGTTTCAAACATTTATGATGGGATTAAGGAGGTTTCCTCCAAAAGACACAACGGTTACTCAGGCGTTTTCATCCCAACGGTCGGAAAACATCGCATACATATATATATAGCCGTGGTATCGGTTCGCAAAATTCATCTAAACAACTCATTCATATCTTTGATTTCTTGAATCACTTCTGTTATCAAACTTTCCCGTTCTTTCCTTGTTCTTCAACGACTCACGAAATCCCTTAAGAGTTCACCCAAGTTTTGTTAGTGTTATATACTGAAAGCTTGGCTTTGCATGTTATTACACATTTACCCTTTATGAATGAGAATCATGTTAGATTAAACAAGTTCTACGTTCTGTTGTTCTGCACTTAGATAGGGTGGGTCGTCATCGGGCGAACCGAAGATCACTCTATCAGTTACTTGCGAACAAGAATAGTTGTTCACAACCTAGATGGACATGAACACCCCATCCGCACGGTTGTAGTGTCAACTGTACAGTTTGTCTTGACTGATTAGTTGCACTAGTACATTTATGTATGGAACAGGATCCCAGAGAGGAGAAGTTCATTTTATACTGATCGTCGTAAATGAACTAAGCCTCGGTTAATTACTGTGTTCTCTTAACCCGTAAGATATTAAACAGGCAGATATATATAATATATATTACTTTGATTCACATGGGTGAGGTTCAGTTCGCTGGATTAATATTCCTACTGTTTTGGGTAATATTATTATATATAGGATATGCTGTTAGGATATTTACGGTCACCATGTGCGTCAGTTTGATGATGTCCCCAGAGTGAGTTCATGAAGAATTGTTATGCTAAACCCTGCAGGTGGATTAAGCTCCGGCATAATAAGAATGTGATGAACGAGCGCTAGCTTCGGTGAAATAATAATAAATTAATTAATTCTTGATTGTCGGTAATCGAATTAATTAATGGACATTATATCTTAAACGTGGGGAGGTAAATCGAGTAATTATTATTGGAGTCTCAAATGTAATTTGGGCTAGGAAGAGGGAGTGCAATAATATAATGTTGGTGGCCCATTAATATTATTTAATTAATTAGAAGAGTGGGTCTAGCCCACAGTTAGTCTAATTAATTAAGGAGCCCTTTTCCTAATCTCTTTAGGGTCCCTACTGTAGCTCTATATATACATCATTAAGCTCATGCGAAGAGATCCAATCTCATATTCACGAGATATACACGCCGCCCCTACTCTCTCTCTCTCTAGATCTCATTCGAGCTTTATCTTCTTCTTGTTGCTCCACTGGTACAAGTTGAAGAAGGGTGTATTGAGTAATACAGTAGAAAATTTGTAGGTAAACCGAGACGAAATATATTTTGACCTACAGAACTAATCGGAAGTCCGATTGAGACGTACAGTATACCCAGACGACCGTCTCGATGAGAGCTTTCCACTGCCAACGTCGCCGGAATCCGACACCGAACGCGCCCTCACGCGCCGCCGGAAGGAGCCTGACTGCAAAATTTCGTTTTGATCTGTTTGCATCCGTTTGATCCAGTTTTGAACTGATCTTGTTGGTGCGACCCAAGACGTGATTTGCGGTCAATCTATTGCGGTCAACCGTTCGTGGTCAACCAAATCTACATAAATTTTAAGCCGTAAGTTCTCTACGTCAAACCTTTAGATCCGCTGCGCGTAGGT